AAATTAACCACTTTTAAAACAAATGTTTCTATGTTTCATCATTTCATATATAATTTATGGTTGTAATTTGACTCTATATGTTATTAATATTCTAGTGTAATTTGACTCTATATGTTAAAAAATTGCTTTGTGCCCTCAGTGACACCTTGAAAATAGTCAAATATGGGTTGGTCAAAAGTCAATCTAAAAGAAATTGATAATTAAAGACATTAAGGTAGAATTTTTACCTTAGGACCTTTAGCCCCAAGGCTATAGTTGTCACTTTCGACCCCATCAGGATTTGTCTTTTCAGTTTGACCCTTAGTGGTTGGGTCTGGATCAGCTTCGACTATTTTGGGAGTAGAAGATTTCTTCGCCTGAGGCTTTGCAACCTTAGGTTTAGTTTGAGAGCTAGCATCAAATATTTTTGCTGGCTTCTTCTTCTTTTTTTGGCTGTTTTGAGGTATATGGGAAGAGATCTTCGTCATCAGACTCAATCATCTGGACTTGAGTTCCTTCTGCTTATTTTTCTTGGGAGTGGATGGTGGTCTTCGACTAGCCTGAAAAGAGAAATTCCACAGGTATTATAATATGAAAACAAGATATTAAGAAGAATAATAATAATAGGCGAAGTTTACCTTTGCTAGTGCTTTAGTGGACTTTTCCTCGTCCTTTTCTTCGACGGTGCCTTTCTCTATAGTAGCCTTCTTGGCATGAATCCTTACAGCTGGAAAAAATCAACACAGTTATCACAAGTAAAAAATAGATAAGGAATTGATAAAAAGAGTAAGTCGAAAAACCTCTCATTCCACACCTTTGTATATCGGAGACTCGACGCGAACGTGTTCTATGCCAATATGAAGGTGCCCTTTGAAACTGTCTAGAGTGTGCTTAGTCAAAACCACCCGCTTGGCACGTTTTTGAGATTCTTGTCGAAGGATTTTTAATAAATCCCCACAGACGAACCAGTCTGGAAATGGAAGACTAAAAGCCACACCAAATTTAATATTTTGCAGTCTAGGAAATTTTGGGGGATACATGTTAAAATCCACTTCGTACCGTTGTTCAAGTTTGATGTACGAAGGTAGTTTTAAATCCTTCAATTTCTTTGTAATTTTTTCTTTCAAGGTGATTGCTGCTTCATGGACGGTTCTACTAAGATCATCAGATATGTAGGCAGTTTCAAAGTACTTTCGGAATGCTTGGATTTCTTTTATGTGAGTCGAAGTACCTTTCTTGACTCTTTCTTGCATAGAGGCAAAAACATGAGTTAAATGTTGATTAAAGGCAGAGCGTCGAAAAATTTTGTTGTATAATAATCCTTCTACCAAGTGTCAAATTCTTTGGTGCAAAGGAATGAAGTCTTAAAAGCAACAGGAGTAAACTTCATAATGCCAGTGTATTTAGCCAATTCTTTATTGCATTGGGATTCGTTATGAATCATGTTATATAGCATCAATGAATTCTTTTGTTGAAAAGTGGTCGTGGCATGATTTGAATAAGACTAAACCATCTAGAGACCAGATTTGGTTGGTAGCTGAGGAGATTGATTTGGAGTCTTGAGGGTCGAAGCTTTGTGGCCAAGAGCCTATGGGTAAGGAAAGCTTCCCAAATAGCAAGTGACTCTTCTTCTTGTTCCTTCGAAGGGGCGGGGAATTGTCTTGTAAATAACTCAGGGGCATGCTTTCTGTGAGCAAAAGGGGCCATGTTGGGTGTGAAGTTGTAGCATTTGGCGAACATCATAACATAACCAGTGAAGGTTTGTTGGGGATTTAACCTTTCATCACTTGGGGTTAGTAAGGCAAGTCTTGTTCCTTCGACTCTCTTGTTCTTCACTTTGTCAGTTTTTGCATTGATAGGGTTGCGAACTGGTAGAGATGCTTCAAAGGTAGCATTCAACCATAATTGTAACAGACAAAAGGGGCCAGAGAGTAACAAGTTGCCTTTGGACTTAATGGTTTTGAAAATTGTGACACATTCTTCTAAAGACTCATAGAGGTTGGCCATAATCATTTTGTTGAGACAAAGTTGATGTCCAACATGCAATTGGTTCGCCGTGGTTAAATATCTCTTCGCAACTTGGAGGGATTTTGAGCAAAACACACAACGAGATAACCACAGAGGAAGAAAAGAAATATGATCTTGATCAGATACTTCATCAGAGTCTTTATCATGGTAATAAGTGATGTAAGTAGTGAAAGCTGCTTTATTGGTGCCAAAGCCTATAGAGTCTTCAACCAGGAAGTTAGGGTCATAGATTTCTCCAATTGGCTTAAGCCCAATAATGGCAGCAATTTCGAAAAGGGTTGGAGTCATCATTCCACAAGGAAGATGGAAATTATTATGGGTGTTATCCTATAAATACAAAGAAGCTACTAACATAAATTAACAATAGCCAGGGCCAACCTTCGCTAGTTGGATCATGTCGAAGATACCCGTCTATTTCCAGACTTGGGATTTTTCATTTTCTATTTTCCCTAACCAGGCTAGATAATTTGAGGGATCCTTAAAAAAGGGGCATAATAGAAATACCCTAAAATTATTCATATAATCTAGATTGATGAGTTCTTTAGAAACCTCGGTCGAAGAGGAACCTTGGTTATCATTTTTTAGTTTCTCGTCACCCTCAATCTCCTCACTAGTCCTAGGTCTTTTCCCATTGACTATGGGTTTGTAACAGTGATATGTTGGGAAAAAATCCTTAGGTTTATTGGGGTTAACAGTAGGGTTTGATAAAGGACCTAACATATCATGTATTTTTCCAGTAATAGAGATAAGAATTAATACCTGGGATTGGTAGATTCTTTTTTTCTCTTCTTCAAGAGAAGGTTCAAGCACATATTGTTGGTTACCCACAACTACTGGGCCCAAGATTTTGTGGACAGGAGGAAGTTCAGGTTTCTTGGATTCGTTGACGTTCTTGGTTGAATCTTTGGAGTTTTTATTAGAAGACGTCATTTATGCAGTAGAGATTGAAGAAAATGGTGGTTGTTTGCGTAGAAGATGAAGGTTTTAGGAGGAATTTGCTCTTGATAAGAAGTTCAAAGAGTGGAAAAGGTTGAAAATGGTGATTTTCACTATTTATAGACTGAAGAAGTGAAATGGTTTACTTCAAGCATTAATGGTTGAAAGACATAGTGAGACACGTGCCTGTCGGAGAACGATGTGATGAGATGGTGGCAGTTAAGCTAACCCCGCAATCTCCTAGGGACTAGGTGTGTGATGATCGTAAAGATTCACGCATGGGTTTTTGAGGTGACGTTTGAGGAAAGTTATCATGATGACTATGACGTCATAGCAGACAAAGTGTTTTTGGCGCCGAAAGTGAGTTCCAAAAAATGTCCTTTTCTCCATTTAGTCGAAAATGACATTTTTTGGGGGGAAATTTGTTGGCTGAAAGTTTCAACGCCAAGAATTCAATTTAAATATGATAAGCCAAAAGAAACATTTTTGAAATGTTTTTGACTTCGACATGAGTTTTATTGAGGGTTTCAGTCGAAGTGATGCTCCTTTATGAGAACGATGTGCTAAAACAAGACTTAGAAATATTTCTAAGTTTGGATGGAAAATTCGACGGAGGTGATATGGAGCTTATTTCAAATAAGGATAATAATTGTCTTTCATTCTTATCCGTTTTTTTTTGTGTGGAAATGACGCATGAAAAGCTGTGGTGAATTGAAGACATGCAGAGCAAAATATGCCATTTTCTAGAAGAATGACCGTTGATGACAATTATTTTCGACGTAGTATAAATAAGAGTCTTAGTGCATAGGATCTTCGTGTGTTCAATTGTTGTACAAATACTCACAAAATCACTTAAAGTATCTAAGTTAATTGAGAAAAGAGTTTTCATTGAGAGTGTACATCTAAAACACCACATTTCATTTCAATTAAAAGTTATTTTCAATTTACCTTTTGTTTCTTCATTGCAATTTTATTTTGAAGTTTCTTTATTGCAATTTTATAATAATTCGGCAATGTTTATCTTTTTAAAACTTTAAACAATTTTCTACAATTATGAGCATTGTCGAAGTGTTCTTAAATTTTCTAGAAATAGTTTAAATAATAGCATATGTCCTAGGATTCACTGGTTGATCCGGCAAGTAAACTAATTTTTTGGAGATCAGCGGTTATTTACCAATTTTCACGGTAAAACCTATATATACTTATATAGATTAATCTATAAGATTTCTTAAGTAATATGAATTAATTGAAAGGCTTAATAAAAAACAGACTTTTAAATAAGTTTTCAAACAAGATCTGACTTTTATAAAAGTCAGGACAGACTAAAAAAAAAGTCTATAATAAATCATAGGACAATCTCAAACATTATAAATTTATTGTAGGATAGACTCGAACCTTATAAAATTTGGTCTCACGTAGCCTATTTCCACCATTAGGTAAGGGTATAGGTTTAAACTTCCAATACATTTCTACACTAATTTAGTGTATTGGTGCATAAATTATGTGAGTTTAACTCTGTTCTATTTATATATCTTCAAGGAAAAACATCATTCACCTCTCTCGAGGTTTATTAAATTGGTATCGAAATTTTCTTTAATTTAAAATATACACTATTCTCTCCTAACATCTATTAAAAGAGTACCAACACCCCTTCTATTTTTTAATGACAAACAAAATTGTAGGTATAGTTAATTATCTATGACATTTTGTTTGTGATTGAAAAATTCTGTTAGTATTCGTTTATGAGTTATACACTTATTAAATGGAGCCATACTAATGAATCTCAGTAATTTTTCACATGCAATACCTTAAATAGAGAGCATATATAAATGAAAGCAAAATTAAACTCAAATTATACTTGGTTATTATAATTGGGCCCTATGGCCCATTAGTAGGGATCTCTTTCTTACGTGTGTATCACGAAAATACAAGAAAATAAGTTATACCGAAACTCAAAGCACAACACGCATATATCGTGTATCAAGAACTTCTAACATTGTTTTGGTATCAAATTTCGCAGTGATCATCATTTTCATCATCGTTTATCTTTTGATGAAATGACAATGAATGAGTCTCCTCCACCACCCACATCTCCAACTGCTTTACCCATGAAGCGCTTCAAGTTCGTTTGGCGTTTTCTCTTGCTCTCCAATCTTGCACTTGGAGGTCAGTGACACTTCGTCTCTTTCCAGCCCCACTGTTCTTTTACCGTCAATTTCTCATTAATGGGTCATTGTTTGTTGCTGTAATCCTAGTCTACCATGTGTTGTTTCTTTGTCACGTATCTTGCCTATCATGTGTTTGATATATTGCCTAATACATCTTTTGTTGCTTTTTTTTCTCGTCGAGATGCCCACGTGGCACCTGCACATGTTTGTTTTAATACATCTTTTGTTGCTTTGTTCATTCGGAGATTATGGCATTCAAGATACATTACATGGGTATGTGTTTCAATATTTCTTTGTATTTGGGGGGGTGGGGTAAGAGTATGAGCTAATTGAGTTAAAATGTTAAATGGGTGTAACCTGTTGGTCCAGGGTTCAATTTCTAGCGGCAACATTTATTTATATCTATGCATTAATGTACACAATTTATGATATTTATAAATTAACAACTTTTAAATTTTTTTCTGTGTTTCATCATATCGTATATAATTCATGGTTGTAATTTGACTCTATATGTGATTAATATTTGAGTGTAATAGTGTGGGAGTATTTTTGTGAATTCTTATGAACGGAGCTTTTTGAAACTAAATTTGGTGGAGTTTTGGATAATAGATCACTTGTCTTTATTTGGGTATTTGGGGTTATGGGAGGGAGGATTTGAGGGAAATAGTTGGTCATCTCAAAGATTATCATTGCACTGCTACGGGTATTGTTTTTTAGTCTCTTTTCTTAGGAAATGAATGCTTAGTCATTATGTAAATGAATGCATTCTGTGATCGAGAAATTGTACTATTTGGACTTGTCCGTTGTTAAAAGGAAACTTAAGGTAAGAAAACTACAGTTGTTATGCCAGTTGGAATGGAAGATATGTTTGTATTTAAATTTACGACTTAAAATGAACGGAGCTGTCCTTTTTTTGTTTTTGGTTCTTTGTTAAATTTATATGGATGATTGGTGAAACTTATGAGAAAATTGTTGTCTAGTGATTGGTGTTTTTATTGATAATACCTTGTACTCTACAGTGTGGTGGGATATCTATGTTCAATGGTTCCACCATGTGAAGTCACTGGCCACTTGATTATTTCTACTGCTATACTAAATTATAGCTGTCTCTACCAATTACCGGTGATTTTGTCCCTTAAAAAGAGTAGCTGCCTTTTGGACATTGTTTTAGTAAAATTGTGATAAAGTTAACAATGGATGATATGAAAATGGTTAGTTTAACCGATAGTATTTATGGTTTCATTTTGTTAATTTCATTTGTTGTAGCATCATAAAAAGTCGAAATGAAAACTCTAGTATATGACTTACATCTGATCTGCCTTTATACTGATTTGTGGGAATGGTTTGTTGCTTGGTAAAGTTTCATATACACTTGTTACCTGAGTACTTGCGAAAATTTTACATGTATATCTCTTTAAACATGTACTGATTTGATTGGGCCAAACCTATTTAATATTTATAAAAAGGAGAATTAATCACATATCATCAGAGGAATTATTTCCCTAATTTACTTTTATTGCTCCATAATTCGTATTTGATAATTCGCAGCTTTTCTGTTTGCAAGGGCAAAACGGAGAGATTCAATGGAGATTCATAGAAAAAAAACAGCACATAGATTGCCCAAAGCCAAAGCGACTGTTGAAGTTCCTCCTGAACTCCCAACAAGTTCAGCGGACCTAAACTATGATGATTTCTTGTTCCCTGTTACAATGCCCGTCGAAGTGCGGGCTCCAATTCCTGAAGAACAACAGTGTGAAGTTTTCAAGTGGATGCTAGAAGAGAAAAGAAAAATGAAACCAAAGGATGCTATGGAGAAAAAACAAATTGACGCAGAAAAGGATATTCTTAAGCAGTTCCTGCGTGCAAAGTCCATACCCAAGTTTTAACTTCCTCTTAACTCTCGCATTATTAATAACTGATAGATTAAAGTTTCAATCTGATAAATAGGCTTTGATAAGCTGGTCTCTTCAGAAGTTCATTATTTGCTGAATTGGAAAGCAACGGGTTAATGGCATTGCATTTCCATGAATTTTAAGGAAGCAAGCATCAACTTAACCTAACTTCATTCTTGTAAGTTGTAACATGTTGTGCATTGAGAGATAAGATAACTGTATCCTTCGTCTTATTCAATGGAACATAGATATTTTGCGAGTATATTAGTGTTATAACAATTTCGCTTTTTTACTCTTCAACATTTGATATCTCTGTTGGTTGTGGGCCTGGTTGTGTCCCGGTTGCTAGTCTAATAAATAATTATGTTTGGATTCATCGTTCCGGCTTTCCAAACCACGTCCATTGGATTTTATACTGCTAGAAATTGGAGTTTCTTGTTCAGTTCATACTCACATTGTGATTTTTTCTAAATCCGATGTTGAAAACTATTGTGGGGGAAGCCTATGTATTGGCAAAATAAGACACAAGAAATGATAGTGATATCAATAACAGAGTTTATGGCAATGTACTACGCTTTTATCGTTTGCAGCATACTTGCCATGTGAAACCGAGGAACCTGAAATATTTATATTTCAAGTGGGTCAATGTGCACAAACCTAACAATGTCTTATATAGTAGTCGCAATATAAGACATCCAATTTCTATCCAATTGCTGGGATTATCTAACTAACTGCAGTGAATTTGAGTCTCCAACGTCATTCAAGAAAGTCCCAATCTCATGTACATCCTGCAGATGTTATCCTACAGTGCTCCGAAAGAGTGGTCAATTTTCATTCATTATCTTAAAGCAAATTTTCTCTAGTCCCCCACCTGACAACGGTAAACTACTGCATTTCTAAATCTAGTTAGTAATAGTTAAATGAAAATGAAGAATAAACATGTTTGTTATGGTGTTTGGCATCTTGAATCTCTGAGTTATAAATTTGATTATCAAGAACTGTAAGTTTATCATTGTTACCGATATACTAGTTTTGTTTGAGTGCTTGGCATATAGTGATTTAGAGTTGATGGTTTAACTCACTATCTTTCTTATTTGGCCAACTCATATAATACAGTTCTTGTTTTATTGAACATTTGTCTTTGCTATGATGCTTGGGACCATTTTGATTTTAGGTACTAACTGTCATGTAGCAGTAACTCAAGAAACAAAGGCAAAGTTAGTCAGTAACCACATGGTACTTTTGTTCATGTCTAATAAGTTACCAGCTCTATAAATAATGGATGTTCTACTATCTTGGTCCGTGAGTGTAGTTTGATATATCATGTTAACTAGGCGAGTAAATATATAAAAGATTATTTTGTATAGCTTTATTTGAAGAAAAGATATAATTTTTGTAATCTTGATTAATCTTAAAGTCATGGTCGGACCTAACTCATTTAATATTTTTTTATTTATAAACATATATTTATATTATATATCGTATTATACGAGACTCTTAATATATTTTCCTCCATGAACAAGAGCATGAATATAAATTATAGGTGACTTGATAGCAGAAATTTAATATCAAATTATCAAATGAATTTTAAATCAGACTCTGATATCATTTTAGAATTGTGGTTGATCCTAACTCAACCTTACAGAACCAATTTGTATGGTGATGATTGTCTCCACTAATAAACTCATATTCAAATCATATATTATCTTATATGAGACTCTTAATATACTCCTTCGCATTCAGGATTAGACATCTAGAGCATGTACACAATGAATGAGTGGTTTGATATCGAAAACTTATAGCAAGTGGTCCAATGAATTTTAAACAACGCTCTAATACCATCTTAGAAATGAAGTTAGACCTAATTCAAACATAAAATTAGTTTGTAAGATGTATATTGTTTCCTCTTACAAATATATATATTGCATATTGTCCTGATGTGAAATTAAAAAAAAAAGTCAAAAATAAAATTTGATCAATAAATTTTTTAATTTGTTTTAAATGTTTTTTGGTTTGAACTCGTCTTTTGATATTTTGAATTAAACTTTAAATAAAAAAATCAAAATAATTCTCTTACTCAAAAGAAAAAATATCTTAAAGAAAAATAAAGTCCTATAAACAATAGAATTAATTTTGAAACATCTAGTTGCGAAGTCCAAACCAAAAAGTTGTTAAAAAAAAGATTTGTTTAAATTTCATTTTTATTTATCATAATTGTAGATATAATTAGAATTTAGTATATTACACACACTTACTTTTCTCAAAATGATTTCTTTTTTAATTGAAATAATAGAAACGAAAATATATAACAATTAAAGTACATATCAGCTTGTATGAGATTTACGCTTACTTTGAAGAGGAAAAAATACTAATTATATATTTTTGTTATTTTAAGATTAGAACCAATCTTCCAAGTTTTTTCATAATATTCTAATTTTAAGTAACGAAAAGATGGAAGTAAAGCCTAAGAAAAAGAGCTATCGAACAATATTAGTACTAAGTTTCTAAGGCCTAAAACCCAATTTTATTCATTGACTTGGAGCTTTCTTTCTGCCACCTTCAAGTTTGACCTACACATATTTCTTTTATAAGGGAAATGCTAACGAGTGCCTTCAGGAAATTGGTTAAGAGATTAAAATGGTAAGTTGGGTATTATTTAAGAGATTGAAAATACATTTTTTTTTAAATATATGTGTATTCAATGTCCTGAAAAGAGAAATAATCAGACTTTTTAAAGAATATTGTGTGTATTGAGTGAATTAAATATAACATATTTTCCTTATTTGAAATTCTTAACCAGTGCCCTGAGGGCACTGGTTAGCATGACCCTTTTTATAATAGTAAAAATATCTTTGTGAAAGTTTAACTAAAAAGAGCAAATGAAAAATCGGGCAGTGCAACTCGAAAAATTTGGCACGTTTTATAATTTTTTGTCTTTTTTTTTAATTTGCTAGGAAAAAAATTGAAATTAACCTTATCGGATTTTTTGAAAAATTCATATTTTAAAAAAAATTTGATAGTGTATTTTGAAAATTTCAGTAAAAATTCATAGATTATTGAAAATTTCAATAGTATATTTTGAACAATCCGGTAAAAAAAACGTAGATTTTTAAAAAATTTGGTAAAAACTCATGTATTTTTTTGAAAAAATCGGTAAAAATTGATATACTTTTTGAAAATTTTTGGTAAAAACTAATAATTTTTTTTAAAATCTGGTAAAAACTCGTAGACTTTTAAAAAAATATGGTAAAAACTCGTACCTTTTTTGAAAATTTTGAAAAACAATTTTTCAAAAACATAAAAAATCAAAAAGGATATTATGGTAAAAGTATTGGGGTGTGAGGATGTCAAGTAAAATTTGAGGGGTGACAGAAAGAAACCTTATTAACTCGAAGGCTATTACTCAACGTTCGAAAAACACATGCTTTCCACTCATTTGTTATGTCCAATCTGATCAATCTTTTAAGATAATTTTTCAAGGGCATTACTCATTAGTCATTACACCTCATGCATTATTACACACTCTAGCCAAATTCCAAAATAATTTTTAGAATTCGAATTTTGAAATTCGGACGCACCAAATACACAACAATCTCCCGCTAAAAACAAGTCAAATCGTATGTATAAGCCTGAATATTAAAATCTGGATTAACTTACGGAAATTAAAATCTAGGTGTGCCTTAACAGACCACTCCACACTCAATTTCCAAACCAGTTAAAATCAAAGTTAAAGGGTTTGTCCGAAGTTCAAAATTTGAATTCTACCCTAATATCATAAAAATATAAACAATTTCAGACAGAGGATGAAGAATAATGTAATTGAACATACATCTTTGTTGTCACATACACATGTCGAGAAAAAAATGTGAGTTCTAAGTCCCACATTGCTTAGAAAAGTGGAGATTGAGCACTTTATACGTAAGAGGACCAATACAACTATCACCTTAAGGTTTTTGGTGAATAGGCGATGTCTCTCTCACTTGTTCGGGTGAGTCTTTTACCTTTAGGTGAGTGTTTGACCCAATGTGTATGCTCCCTCCTCATAATGACCCATCAGTAAGAGAGTAACCTAGGAAAAGACCTGTGAGCTTCGTGGCTTGTAACCTCTTGGTGGGATAAGGTCCTAAGAATGCGTACAGTTTTTTATCTATGGAGTAAAGAATTAGCATATGTTTTACCCAAATGACAATCTTGTCATTCTGGAACGAGGATTCAGGAATTAAGTCTCTTGATTCTTCACTTTCATTAGGGGTAATGATGAAGGCAAGTGGATTGTTCCCAGTAGTAGACTTAGAAGACATTTGGCTAGTGGACATTTTTGAAGAAAAAGAGTTTTTTGAAGAAAAAAATATATGGTGAAATGGGTTTGAAGTTCTGTGCGAAAGAAAGAGAGTACGAAAAGACGAAGCGGATAAAAGGAAGAAGGGAGCTGAGAGAGGGTACTTATAGGCTTCAAGGCATGAATTAGATCGGACACTTGGAGGCCACGTGGGAATGATTGAAAGGTTTCATGGGTTTTCAATTCCTTTTCTATAAATAAATCCTTTGGCTACAAGTGTTGCTTTGTGTCTAATTACTTCTCCTTTTGGATCCAACTTTACTTTATACACCCATTTCACATTAATTAACTTCTTACCATGTGGTAATTTGACTAGTGACCAGGTTTTGTTGAACTTTATGAATTTCAGTTCCTCCATTATGGCTTGCGTCCACTTTGAGTCCTTCAATGCTTTGACTACATTGATCGTCTCAGTATCTGCATAGAAAGCATAGTGTACTAGCTCACATTCATCATTGACCACATCATCTGATGTGATCACAATGCAGGTTTCTTGTTCTTTGACATTTGTTTGTGCCTACTTGGTAAATGCTTAGCCTTCAACATACTTCTTACCATGTTCATAATGTCAGCGCCACCTCATTCATAATGCGTTCTATTTCATATAATACATCGAAGTCTTTCCACACATATTCTCCACCACCATCAGTCCTCA